TATGAGGATGCTTGACCATGTTTGTAAGCATATGAGACTTGATTAAGCCTTTGAACACTTCATTTTCTTGATCAGAATCAAAACCCTAGTTTTGACTGTAGGGGAGACTGTTGCACTGCACAACCCTTGGGGAATTTTGTAGCTTGGCTTGGCAATTTCTTGAGGAATATGGGAGGGCAAATTTTGGGGTATAACAGTTGCCCCTGTTCAATCTTCTTAGACCTGAGGATGCAGATTGGCTGTCGTGCCTTTCGTAATCCGAGGGTAAAAGATGATTGGACACTAGAGTGCCCGGAAATTTGCGCTCACATGTTAGCAATGATGGTGGAATGGGCTTATAGATGCCATCTGGATGTTCGATTGCGTAAGAGATTCCTTGGCGAGAACCTGCATACCTACAAAAGAGAAAATGAGTACCCGACACGTTGCAGGAGCTGATTTTAGATGCTTGGTATAGATATGTCCTGACAAGTTACAGGAGCTGAGTCTGGAGCTTCAAACGGCGATGAAAGAACCAGGGATGATTACTTCCTTAGCATGAATGATAAGAGAGCCTTGGGCGACTTTAACTTCAACAACGCTCGTTGAGAAAAATCTGGGGTGTCTTCTACTGGGATAAGAATCAGGGAGATCTTAGGGTCGATCTGACTGAACCAGAGAGGCCTTTGACTGGGTAAGAATCAGGAAAATCTTAAGGTCGATTTAACTGAACCGGTCTAGGTCTTGAAACGTCTTCAACTGGATAAGCATCAGGGAAATCTTGGGACGATTTAACTGAACCAGAGAAGGCCTTTGACTGGATAAGCATCAGGAAAATCTTGGGACGATTTAACTGAACCGGTCTAGGTCTTGCAATGTCTTCAACTGGATAAGCAATCAGGAAAATCTTGGGACGATTTAACTGAACCAGAGAAGGCCTTTGACTGGATAAGCAATCAGGAAAATTTTGGGGCGATTTAACTGAACCGGTCTAGGTCTTGAAATGTCTTCAACTGGATAAGTGTCAGGGAGATCTTAGGACGATCTGACTGAACCAGAGAAGGCCTTTGACTGGATAAGCAATCAGGAAAATCTTGGGATGATTTAACTGAACCGGTCTAGGTCTTGAAATGTCTTCAACTGGATAAGCAATCAGGAAAATCTTGGGACGATTTAACTGAACCAGAGAAGGCCTTTGACTGGATAAGCAATCAGGAAAATCTTGGGATGATTTAACTGAACCGGTCTAGGTCTTGAAATGTCTTCAACTGGATAAGCATCAGGGAGATCTTAGGGCGATCTGACTGAACCAGAGAAGGCCTTTGACTGGATAAGCATCAGGAAAATCTTAGGACGATTTAACTGAACCGGTCTAGGTCTTGAAATGTCTTCAACTGGATAAACAATCAGGAAAATCTTGGGACGATTTAACTGAACCAGAGAAGGCCTTTGACTGGATAAGCAATCAGGAAAATCTTGGAACGATTTAACTGAACCGGTCTAGGTCTTGAAATGTCTTCAACTGGATAAGCAATCAGGAAAATCTTGGGACGATTTAACTGAACCAGAGAAGGCCTTTGACTGGATAAGCAATCAGGAAAATCTTGGAACGATTTAACTGAACCGGTCTAGGTCTTGAAATGTAGCTTGAGAACTTAACTGGATTTTTCCTGAAAGATAAAAGTCAGTCATATGCAATGCATGATATGGATCAAGCAATGATGTTCTCAACATAAATGAGATTTGTATGATGCAGTGCGTTATGCATGCTATAATGATGTATGTGACGTTTTATGTATATTTTCGTCTAGGAAAGTAAATCCTTGACGGGTGCCGGGAAGTTGTATCCTGGGCTGATGTCGAAGAATAGATTTGCCTCCGCTGGAGATGATAACTGCAAGGATACCGGTAGGAGAAGATGACTCCGTCGCGGAATAAACTTGGCGAATGGAAGATTCTGTGGGGAGAAAAGATACTCTAGCGATCATGCTGGAAAGCAATACTCTGTGGGAAGAGTGATGCCTTGCTGAATGTTGATAGTAACTCTGTTGGGGATACCGTTGTTGTATTGGAAGTATTGATGGACTTCGCTGGGGGTAGGAAAGAACTACGTTGACGATGACCTTTCCGTGGCTTTTGGCTGAGGATAACCCAGTTATATCCTGTTAAGGAAATAACTCTTTGAATAAAGCCGGACGAAGCGTTCGTGCTCTGCGAGGGGGTAAGCTTCCAGAATCTACTGGGGATAAGCTTGCTGCTTGGAGAGATGAATTCCAATTTTCCTAGGGAAACTGGATTGGACTCTTCTGGGGAGTTTTGGAATGTAATTTTATAAGTTGAAAGGGGGAACCTATGTAGGGTTGCATGCTGATGAGTTTGTGTAAAACTGTATCTGAAATGGAGAAGGAACCTGGGTAGGGTTACTTTGATGATGAGTTCGTGTAAAACTTCGTTTTTTTGGAAAGGGAGAACCTGTGTAGGGTTTCTGGGTGACGAGTCCATGTAAAACTGCATCTTGAAGAGAAGGAACCGGTGTAGGGTTACTTTGATGAGGAGTTCGTGTAAAACTTCCTGATGAACCGGGGTTAGGTTACTTGGATAAGTTTGTGTAAAAACTTCTGGAGGAACCGGGGTTAGGTTACGGATAGGTCCATGTGAGACTCTTGGAGGAACCGGGGTTAGGTTACGGCAGGATAAGTTTGTGTAAAACTTCTTGATGAACCGGGGTTAGGTCATCTTGAGATAGGTCTATGTAAGACTTCTGGAGGAACCGGGGTTAGGTCACTTCGGGATAAGTTCGTGTAAAACTTCTTGACGAACCGGGGTAAGGTCATCTGTGATAAATCCATGTAAGATTTCTGGAGGAACCGGGGTTAGGTCACTTCGGGATAAGTTCGTGTAAAACTTCTTGACGAACCGGGGTAAGGTCATCTGTGATAAATCCATGTAAGATTTCTGGAGGAACCGGGGTAAGGTTACTTGGATAAGTTTGTGTAAAAACTTTTGGAGGAACCGGGGTAAGGTTGCTTCGGGATAAGTTTGTGTAAAACTTCTTGATGAACCGGGGTTAGGTCATCTTATGGAGGAGGAGTCTGTGTATGACTTTGTCTGAAGGTTGAGCAGAAACCGGTGTTGGGTTGCATGATTTTGATTAAGTGGATAATTGTCCTGTTTGGTCTCGGACGTTAGCCCACGATCTGGAATTTGTAAAGGTAGATGGTAATCATTTTTATGTTGATCTGTCCTTTGTAATTTGGTTGACAGAGCAATTGGATCGCCTGGATAGCTCATTATTGCCCCTGCTTCGGAGGTGAGGGAAGAGGATACCTGTGCGGGTGATCGACAAATCTTCGGGTAGGCAAGTGACGAGATACCGGAACATAGTCGTACGCTTCGATCCCTAACTTTTGCCTGGACCGCCCTTTCGGGTTTCCAGTCCACCGGGATACCCATTTTTGCCCAAGCCGCCTTTTCAGGTTTTCGACTTGCCGGGTGTACATGTTTTTCGTTTCATCCCTTCATTTTGCCCGAACCCTTTTAGTTCGTCGGGAAGCCCTTATGTATGTCAACCTAGCGGGTCTTTGATTATGCGCAGTATTTTTTCGACTATGTCCGTGTCCTCAGGATTTAGGGAATTGCCCCTGTTAGAATTGTTTTGTCATGCCACCAGAAGATCTTCGTTTGATCGTCCAATGCCCCAGGTGACTTAGACGGAGATTTGCCCCAGGCTGGTGGTGTCACCATATTGTCAGAAGATGTCTGATCGTGCAAGATTCGTTGCTGGATTGCCCCAAGTGACTCAGGCAGAGATTTGCCCCAGGCTTTTTGCCCTTTTGAGAGATTCTCTGGATCTTGACTTAACTGCCCCAGATGGTAGACCATGATCATGCCGTGCCCCTTGATTGGAGATACTCTTGTTCATTAGACTTTCGTCATGCGAATTTCTATGCTGTTCAAACAAAAAGTCATATGCAAACACAGTTATATCAAAAATACAAAGCTTATGTCTGTCTTGAATATTTTGAAAATGCGTTCTTTTCATAAAACAAGTGAATGTTTGTAAAATGTGATGTCAACTCCGTATTTACCGTAGGCCTTAGGAGTCAGGATACCCTTCGTAACAGTATGCTTTCGAACTAACCCATACTTCAGCTAGGACTTTTTAAGGGTTATAATCGTGGCCTGGTTCATGGTTTTAAGAAACAAAGGATAAAGGCTCAAATTATTTGTACCCACCCACTCTTCGTGATGTTCTCCAAACCTAAACTCAGTTGATCCTACGTTAGACCTTGTTTGAGTCTTTGCTCTAATTTTCTGGTGATGGATAACTTATTTTGAATAGGCAGTCATTCCTTTTTTGTCGAGGGTTTGTGTGACCTCCTTTTTTGATTTTGTGATCCCTATTTTTTTGCCTGAACTGTTTCTTTTGTGATTACAGTCAGCGGGATACCCCAGTTTTGTAAGTCTCCTTCATAGGTTTTGACTTAATGGGTTTTTATTTTTTGAGATATAATGACTGCCTATCTGTATGATTGTTTGGAATTATCACTATCCTTTGTTTTGTAAGGACCTCTTTGGTGCCATTCGTTATGTACTTGGATCAACTGAGAGACTACCCTGCCCCAGGTTATGATAAAGGGTTTTGATTTTCGAAAAGAAAAACTCCTACTTCTTTGACTCAAAGGGGTTGACGAGGGATTATCATCCTTATAACTCCAGTGTTTAGGAATTGAAACAATGCCTGTACCTCATTAGCGGGGTCTGTTCAAAAGCATACTGTAGATCGTGGTATCGTTTTCGTCATCCTCCCTCAAGAGGCTTAGAATTAATGAGAGTTGACATCAGAAAAAATATGAAAACAGTTTGCATACAGTAAATGCGAACATATTGATTCAAAAATAGACATAAGCGATGCATTGATGAAATAACAATGTTTTAATCATGAGTAAACGTTTGAACAATCAAAAGAAAATTACAATTTGAAAATTCGAATGAACAAAAATTTCTAGTCTCAGGGCTTGTCACTTCAAATGGTGAGCCTTGGAGGGATGGTAGAAAAATTCAGCCTGACCATCTTGTGTGAATTCCAGTGCTCCTTCATCAATCAGGTCCTGGATCTTGTTTTTCAAAGCCCAACACTCGTTTGCATTATGTCCTGGACAGGTAGAGTGGTAGGCACACCTTTTATTGGGATCGTAAGCAGGATGTGCTGTGTTGGGGTTCTGGGGATGATCCCTTAATGTGATCAGGTTCAATCTCAACAGGCGTTGTAAAGCTTGAAACGGCGACATATTGAGCGGGGTGAACTGCCTCCTGGGCTTGTCTGTCTGAAGTTGGTGAAGTTGCTGCTGAATTGGTGATACTGGAGCCATATGAGGAGCTTTCTCCTTGCCTCTTTGTCTCAAAGGTGGTGGAACGATGATTGGCTTTTTACCCTTAGATGTTTGCCCCAGTTGGTTGCCCTGAAGCAGTTTGTTGATGAGAACCCCGAGCTCATCTTGTCTTTGAGCTAAACCTTGAATGGCATTCCTCTGCCCAAGCATTTGGGCTTTCAATGCATCCACCTCAGCTTGTAGGTGTTCTAGCCTTTCATCCTCAGCACTGTTCCTGACAAAAGTCTCCATGATAAGTGTCCTTAGCTCTTCCTGCCCCTTGGATAGATTCAGGAGGATTTTCCCGAACCGGGTCTCTTGAGCAAGAAAGTCCTGATTGTCTTGTTGGGAAGCCATGGCTGAAATAAACAGCGGGAAAGGTGAGTGACCTGCAAAAGGGATACCTGTGATGCAATGATGTGTATGATATGCATGCAATGTTTTCAAGGACCTCGCGGGGTAAACAAGGAAATTTGTTAGCATTTGGAATTTAGAGCTTGATTGAAGGACACCCATGTTATTAAGAACTCTTCTTCAAGAGTCAAAGGCTCACCATATCAAGTGGGTCATAGCCCCTGACAACATTGGCTAGAGGAAAATGAATCCTCTTTGCCCCTTGCTAGATGTTTGATTTATATGACCTGCATCACAAGCCCTTGAGATCCTTGAAATGGGTTAGGATGTATGCAATGGTATGATGTCATGCTATGCATGGAGTAATGTGAGTAACCCTGTTATGAGTCCCAATTAAGGACTGCAAAAACCTGCAAGAAACTTAGGATACCCTGTTATGAGTCCTAATTAAGGACTACAAACACAACCTGCAAGAGGCAAATGTCAGGTAATAAGCATGCAAGTAGTTCAAGTAGGAAGGCACACAAGTCACACAAGACAAGCCCTTAAGGTTTAAGGCCAGCATGGGGTCTGGGTAGTACCCTCTTGAAGTTGGTGGGTTCAACCTGTCCTAATCAACGTAACCGGGTTCTAAGGTTCCCAATATCACGGGATTGCTTTCATTGTTCATCGTTTCGATTTAGCCACTGAACTGGCGACCGAAATATTCCAGGAAAGCAACCCTCAATTGAGTGTAGTATCGAGTATCAACCAACCTCGGACTGCACCAAAGTCAGTTATCTCACTACCCTAAAGAGGCCAAGATGGTTCAATTAAGGTTCCTAAGGTCTGTTGATGCTTCATGACACCACATGGAGGCCCCGTACTCTCCTTGACTGAACTCAAGGGTTACCGGTACACACCAAAGTGCCACATCAACGTAGCAGACTGTTTCAACCATGTCGGTATACCCCGCACAGTTCCCTCACAGCCTTGTTGCTACTTTCTAATAAGGTATCCCCTAGATCCGGGTGAGGATCTATAGAACTCCCAAGACAGTCCCACAATTTAAAGCAAACAAGGAAAGCAATTGAAAACACAGTGATCTTAGTCCTAAGGTATACCTCACTTTAAGTTTACATTCCCCAGCAGAGTCGCCAGTTCTGTGATCGGTGGATCTGGAACTGACTGTTTTAAAGCTGGTTCGCGAAATGTCGCGGAAGCAAGAATCGCCACCGTCTTTTATTTTCTCCAAATGGAAAGGACAAAAGCACAGAAAAATTCCTTTAAAGAGATTGCTCTCGGTTCGGGAGGTAGGTTATAGAAAGGGAAGGTGTTAGCACCCTTTCTATCCATGGTTATCCATGGGCTCTTAGGTACTTGCTCAATGTGTTTTCAAAATGTTTGCTTGCTTTTCAATGTGGATTTCAAAAATATTCTTTGAAAAGTTTCAATTCAACTCGTACGTCAGAGTGTTTGAAAAATTTGCTTTGAAGTGTTTTGAAAGTGTGTTGGTGTGAAAAGTATTTTGATTTGTTTGAAATTAGAGCAAGTACCCTTGAGAACCTATCTACCCTAAGGAATTCGTCTGTGTAAATGTCCTTTAAAGTAGTGTCATCCCACCATTGAGAGGTAGGTAGCACCACTTGTTGGAGGTGTTCGGGTCAATTCGAGTTTTAGGGACGTGGTGATCACCAGAGAAATAGGAAGACACCTTAGAAGCTACCCTTATGCCATTGATCTTTTATTCCGAGGCAACTTATTCGAGGCAACTTTGTTTTAGGCAACTTGATCAATGGACACAAGGACTTACTAAAATATCCTCTACTCGATGATCACCTTTCGAAAGGCAACAGTGAGGCGTACCCTAGGGGTGGTGTGTGCGAATTGTGTGTCATTTTCAGTTTATTGTTTGTCTTGTCATGCATTGGTGATCTAACGATTCGATTTTTATTTTTGGGCATTCATTCTTTCATGTTATTGTTTAACAGTTAAAAGTGCGGGAATTTAAAGTGCGGAAAAGATAAAAGTCCTACGCTATTACAAAGGGCGCGGGTCTACAACGCCAAATTAATCCAGACCCGTTTTTTAAAATAAATTGCAGAAAAGAAATGTCTAATAGTTATTACATGGCTTTGGTACAAGTACATTGTATTCACAAAAGAAATAAATGAAACGCGCGAAAAAGAAAATAATCAAATGCGAGGGCGTTGAACCCTTTAAAGGAATTAAAATAATTAAGTTATCTAAAATTAAAATTAAATGAAAAATGGTATTTTTGTGTTTTTTAGATTTAAAAGAAAAAAGAAAAATTAATTGAAATTAAATTAAATATTAGACCTAATTCTATTATTTTTTAAGTTTATTATGAAAATATTGACTTTTAACCTAATTTAACTCTAAATTAATTTATGTACAATTAATTATAAAATAGAATAAATTAATAATTATATTATAAAAAAAAAGAAAATTTTAAGAGGAATGAACATTGTTAATTAATCTAGTTCTATGTTTTTGTTTTGATTTTTATTAAAAGGATTTAAAGTTGAAAACTTAATTAAAACTAAACATTTTACATGTTATTATTTATACAAAAAAAAACAATATTTAAAATAAAATAATTATTAAAATTTTTGACTTTTCTGATTTTTTTGAATGTTTTTTATGTTTTGTAGAAAAATAAACTAATTATGTTTAAACAAATAAATAAAATAGCAAAATCAAACAAGAAGAAAAATAGAAAAATAAATGCAAACCAGGGGGGGGGGTAGCCCCAAATTGGAGGTGAGGCCCAGTAAATCAGGCCCATTTGCTTGAAGTCCATTGACTTTTTTGATCAGGCGTGATGCATTTGACTGAAGCATAGCATATTCCTCCATCTTATGCCTTTGGATTGATTCCCAGGATGACGTGTAATGCTTGATCTGGATGGAATATGGTGGTCCTTAGTGCCAGCGTTGCATGGAAGCTTGAAGTGAAAAATAATATGAAATTGTGTAGACCTGGGACTTGAACCCAGGTCATGAAGGTCAACAGCGTTTGTCCCTGCCAGCTGAGCTACCACGCGTTAGTTAATATATTATGGCTTATAAATAATAAAAAGAAAAAACAGAAAAGTTAGTGGAGGGCGCGCGAAATTCAAATGAACGTATCACGCTTCGCCACGACGTTCTTCTTCCTCGTGTCCCCTGTAATACAAAACCCTATGGCCACAGTTTTCACGCGTGGGTTAAAGTCACCTTTAGGAAAATAGCGATTAGCATTATAAGACCAATAAATTGGGCGCGAGTAGTGTTTATTCTTCGTCTCAACCTGCTTAATCCAATGGTCACAGTTTGGAATCCTAATTTTGCTTCGTTGTAAAAGCCCCATTTCAAAAAGCTGGAAACCCTAAAAACCAAACATGGTGGATTCGTGTATAGCTTATGAAAATGCAATTAAATACAATGAACAGCTTAGAAACTTTGTAAGGAATAAGAATTCATCAATGAAAATGCAAGAGGACGCGTGAATTGTGATATGCAATCTCAAAAATTATGTGACACGGCTTGAGGTCTCCATACCAATTCCTGGGTTTTTGAAAGATGTTTTGAGTTGGGATGCGTTCAGTGATTGTCCAAGATGCTAATGGGAAAAGAATTAAGGCTTGAAAGATCCTCTAACCTTGAAATCAGATTTGGCTTATATGGCTAATTTTTCAAAGTTCCAATGGCTCTTCAGCGCAGCATATGGTCCCTTATGGTTAGGGTTTGACTCAGTGATGATCATGGAATGGAATTGGCTTGCTTTTTTGCCTTAATTCATGCTTGTGAAGGAATTAGTCTTAGGGTTTTCACTCTTAACCATTTTTCCTCCTTTTTAGCCAAAACCTAGACCTAGTGTGCAAATGAACCCTAGCCTGATTTCTTGAGTTGGTTCATGATACATAGAAATTGTCCAAGTTCACATGACACTATTCCATTGGTTTTTAAATTTTATTTGAATTTTCAAAGAATTAAAATGAATTAAATCATCAAAAATTAAATAAAATAAAAAAATCAATATTTGGTCTTGAAATTAACCATGGGACACGTGTGTGGCATGACAAGGATGAACCAAGTGGAAAAAATGGGGCCCTTTTGTCAAAAAATGGATTTTCAAGGATAGTTGACTTTTGCCATTTCACAAAAATTTCCCAACTTCTACAAGGCATAACTTGCTCAATTTTTAAGCTTTTCACATGTTCTTGGACATTTTGGAAAGGTCTTTGAGTCCTTTAACCAATGCCTTTGGTCCCATGTCATTTTGATTTACCAATATCAAGTTATGGCCTTTGACTTAAAGTCCCCTTTTGTTGACTTTTGAAAATGACCTGTAATGTTGAAATTGATAACTTTTTGTGAGAGCCTTTTTTGGACTTGAAGTATGAAGATGAGTTGTAGGAAATGTCTTTCTCTTCAAAATGAGCTTTGGATGGGATTTTTCTGATAATCCATGTGAAAGTTATGCCCTGGTCAATTTCAGTTGACTTTTTCAGCTGTCCAAATATAGCAACTTTTGCATCTTTGATGATTTCTGAGCCAAATTTTGAGAATCATGATCAAGCATTGATCAAATGATGTTTGTGGCTTCAAAATGATATGTTGACCAAAAATTTGAACTTTTGACTGTCAAATGACCATTTTGCCCCTACAGTTGACTGTAGTGCAATTTAGGGTTTTGACTGTGCAATCTTGAGCTGAATGCCTTGAAACTTGATATGAGGATGCTTGACCATGTTTTTAAGCATATGAGACTTGATTAAGCCTTTGAACACTTCATTTTCTTGATCAGAATCAAAACCCTAGTTTTGACTGTAGGGGAGACTGTTGCACTGCACAACCCTTGGGGAATTTTGTAGCTTGGCTTGGCAATTTCTTGAGGAATATGGGAGGGCAAATTTTGGGGTATAACACCAATGCTATTGAAGAAGATTTATTTATTTCTACCATGGATGAACTATTAACTCCGCTCCCGACCATCAAGTTGAATTTGTTAAAAGCTGGTATTTTCCCAGGTTGTGACAAAGACTGCCAGGTTTGCCTATCTTCATCATTTGACTGCCCTCTGTTGAAAAAAGGTATCCAACGACTGATGGATAACCAAGAAATTTTGTTTGAGAATGCTCCTGTTTTACCCGTTCCAGTTAAAGAAGTTTCAATTAT